AAATTTCTAATTCAAGGTACAGTTTGGAGCCCATAAATCCACCAAAATATAGATCTAGTCCCAATTTGAGACATTGAGAATTGTTGGTGTAGATTTTGGAAGGGAACAATGAGAGACAGTACTTTGAATTGCTTGATATTGAAGGCAACAACGGTGATGGTAAGAGAGAAGAGTAGAGCACATCATTGATGATCCCACAATTCCAACATAAAGTCATGATAATTCGCCAAGTTACCGCCGTGAACCCGAGTCATTGCTGCAGGCAATGCCGAGCACTAGTTCGACGAAGATTTAAGTGCTTGCCTGAAACTTTTCAGATTCATGCCAAGCCTTTTCCTTTTGATAGTTGTATCTTAGCAGACTCCATCGTTGATATGACCACAAAGCTTGAAGAATTGAAGGCTTCTCCGGGACCGGATGTTAGCTTATCAGCACACCGAGATCTATACCGAGATTTCCCCCATTCTCGAAAATGCCGGAATCACCACGATCACAATATGTTAATACCCAAAACGTCCTGTCGCCCGAAGGATAGATAATAAATGCAGACTGATATTAATGTCACAAACTCACAAAGCATCGTGAACTTATCAGTATAGATTTCTGATATTCCGGAAGCACAGCTGTCCAATCCAAGAGCTGAATCTTGGCCGGCTAATCTACCCTGGCTAGCTGGACTCGAGGCAGACCTACTGGAGCACATTCTACGTTGCTGATTGGGTAAAACTGACTGTTCTGGCGGTAGGATGTCTTCTACGGGGTCCAAGGACGCAACGAGCCGCCAGAGTCCGGTAGTTTCGTATTGAGACTTAATTAGCCTAATTGGGTAAAGAACAGAAGATTGGGTATCGTTGTGCAAGCAAGGTGTTCGTTGACAAGCAAACTTTGAATTATCTTACAACGATAAGGCTTGACGCTGACTGAATCGCCGAAAGTCTTTGAACTGTTCAATTGAGCGTACTCCGTGCAACTCTCTCGTACCGATATATTTGCGCAAGGGATAATTGTACCGCGCGACCAACCTTAATCGATCATTAGCAATACTTTTTATGTTATCAGCCCTGTTGCAGTACCAGGTCAGACCAGGACTCGCCGATAGAGACCAACAAGTAGGTATTTTAAGATTTATGTTTCCCAAGCTTACTCGTACTTCGTACACTCAAACAAAGATAGACCCTGACCCTGACCGCGAATAAACAAATAAGCAGAATGGCGCCATCATCACGAAGTTGTTTCCGTCAACTCTTTATGACAAATCACTCAAGTCGAAGGGATAATGGTGGCAGTGAACAGGGAGCCAAATCCGATGAAAAGTTAGTACAACCTGGTAAGTGATATATCCTTATCATATACCTATTGTATACCTACCTATCCTATCGTCTACTTAGATTGGCACGGGATGAGATATCGGAGAGTACACACGATTTTGTGTTTCGTTTCATTTTGGATTACTCGTTCTCAATTTCTCATACTCTACCGTCTTGTTCATCTGAACTTCTCCCTTTTTTTGCCATTGCAGATCAAATAATCGTTCATCCGTACATTGCTTGTCAAGCTTATCACATTGGACCCCACAGTAGCCAAAGATCAGACGCCTCTAGCCGCGATCTGATAGCAAACTTTTTTCCTTGTTTGGATACGCGGGACGATTGGCATGGACCTGCAGAATGGCCGAAACCCAATCAGAGGCCAAGATCATACAATTGCCCCTGAGTGAACAAACAGCCGCGGGGAGATCAGTTGGCTTGAAGGATTTCATAGGTCGCCGCCTTGTTTCAACTTTTCATATCCCATGTCATGATTTCTAACGATCAAACAATTTTAAGGTACCCCTGGCGTAAATCCTGCAGGTCCTACAAAGGAGTACAGAGTAGTACCCGCATTGAATTAAGTGAAATAGGATGCGATGGCTGCCAGCTGCGCCGAAAAGAATAGTTTCTCAACTTCTCTCTTCCTTTTCTACAAAGTTCAAGATATAGTTGTAGCCTGGTGCTCTGCTGTATGTAGACCTCTACTTGACATTCCTTCAACGTAAATTTTCTGTATTCAGAATTACCACACTCCTTTTTTTCATTTCTCTCTCGGTTGAACTGGCTTTCTTTCCGATTTGATACTCCCCCTCGATTTCAATCTCTCAATCGATTCCAATTTCTCAGTCGATTTCAATCTCTCGGTCGATTTCATTCTTTCATCATGCGATTTTCACTCCTTCTTTTGGCATCAACGCTGACTGCCTCTGTGGTTTCAGCCCAGAAGTATGTATTTGCACACGTTGTGATGGGCAATACTGCTCACCATACTACCGACGACTGGGCATCCGATATAAAAACGGCTCAGGCTGCAGGCATCGATGCCTTTACACTCAACATTGCCACTGGTGACTCAAACATCCCAACACAGGTTGAAAATGCCTTTAATGCTGCTACAAATCTCGGCAGTAGTTTCAAACTTTTCTTCTCTTTCGATTATCTTGGTGGAAGCGGACCTTGGCCGGCTACAGGTTCGTCCTCGGTTGCATCATATCTCAACAAATATGGGGTAAGTTCTGCATACTTCAAGTACAACGGACAGATCTTTGTATCCACTTTTGAGGGAGTGAATAACGCCGGGGATTGGACTCCTAGCGGCCCCATCCGGAGCGCCGTTCAAAGTACTGCTGGCTCTATCTACTTCGTCCCTGATTACACGAGCTTGGGCCCTGATGGATTCAGCGCACAACTCAACAATGTTCAGGGTGGTTTTAGTTGGGACATGTGGCCAGCTGGACCAGTAAACATGACGACTGCAAACGACCTTGCTTGGAAAAGTACTTTGGGTAGCAAGGCTTACATGATGGGTGTCTCCCCTTGGTTTTTCCACAGCGACGCAAACCCAATTGCATGGATGTGGAGAGGTGACAATCTTTGGTCTGAACGCTGGCAACAAGTTCTCGAAGTTCAGCCTCAATTCGTCGAGTACGTATTCTCGTCCACCCCTCTGATGGGCTTTCTGCTATTAAGTGCCCTTCAACATGAAAACTGACTCATTCCACAGAATTGTAACATGGAACGATTGGGGAGAGTCGTCATACATAGCGCCCCTGTTACACGACGAGGAAGTGCCTGCAAACTCCCTCAAATACGTTAAAAACATGCCACATTCCAACCTTCTCACCCTCTTGCCATACTACATATCTCAGTATAAAGGTATCAAATCTAATGCCACTACCGACTCTATGCAATACTGGTACCGCACATCTCCCGCTGCTGCTGGTTTAACAGGAGGTGTGCTTGGCAATAATCCGAATCAAGGACAGATAGAATACAGTCCCAACACCCTCTGTGAAGACAAAGTATTCTTCACAGCATTATTGCAATCAGCTGCCGATGTGCACGTGCAGATTGGCGAATCACCAGTGACGAGCTACCCTGGAAAAGCTGGCTTGAACAGTTGGAGCCATGGATTTTCAGGACAGACTGGCAATGTGACCTTCTCTATTGTCCGAAATTCGCAGACGGTCAAATCTGAGAGCGGAACTGAGATTACGGCGGAGAGTTCGGTGGTCGGCGGTCTTACAAACTTCAATGTTTGGGTAGGAGGTTTCTAGGGTTCTAGTTGCAGGTGTTGATGAGTGGTGATATCGTCGATTTCAACGTGCTTTCAAGCCACCAACGCCTCAAGTGGCTCATGACTGAAAACACCCGTGGACGGACTATTTACATTTCCTACAACCACGTCTTTACAGCACGTTATAACGATTTTCTTACAAGAATTAAGATAGATGGGATGAAACTAGATGGCTTGGTCTCATGGCAGGGGATGGTTTTTATTTTCTTTACGCTCTTTTAGCATTTCTATTCAATTCGTTCTGTCTAACGACAGCTGGGACGGCAGAGCCTCTCCCTTTTCATCTATATACCCAATGTTTAGATATCCAGCATTGTGTTTACACACACATACACTTCGGGGCATGGATTCTGGGATATAGACAAGACTATGATTTATGAAGGATTTTTTGTTTATATGTATTATGTCACCATCACTTTCTTGTATACTAGATTATTAGCATGCCCATCTAGGCATATATCATTCACTTGGCAATGAATCTCAGATCAGAACAAATAGGGCAACTTAACTCTTGCATCTTAATGTGTTGAATAAGTACCGAAACATAAGCATGTCTTCAAGATGTTTCTTGATAACCCAATGTCATATGTCAACTCGAGACGCGGTAGTGGATACCACGCCGGTGGGTCACTGGTTCATACTAGACGCCTGGGAATTTCTCATGCATGATCAAAGAACTTCTGCCTAACTACTCGTGCTCTCATCACAATTCCTAGTGCGAAGGCCACCTTGTACATCACTTGCTTCTGATGATGATTCGGCGAAGTTCTCGATTTCGAAAATAAATGGAACGGACAGTGATATTCTGCGCAGCAAATGATATAGGTAGTACACGAGCATCTCTATTGGTCGTTCCTTGATGCTTTAGTTCGAGTTTGACAATAAGGCATCGCCCGTTCAATACTTTTTGTGAAGTTCGGCGATCGAATGCTTTTGAATGTGCCAATAGGTTTGCGGTTTATTAGATCTATCGTCTATTTGGTCTATTATCTATTTAATTTCACAGCTATTTTGTGTAGAGAAGTCAAAGGTCAAATCACAGGTTGAAGGTAGGATATTTCGACTGAGTATTAGATGGTTGTGAGGAAGAAATTAGAATTAGCAGCCACTGGATCCAGAAATTTTACAAATCAAGTTGTAATACTCCCTCATGAGTTTTTGTTCGTTGTTCATTAGTATGGCTATTTCAGTGTCGATAAATTCCAGCTTCATCAAATGTTTGATAAATAAGAGCCGAGTCGGATTAACAGTTTAGCCGCTCAAGCCACATCGATCTCGAAACACTAGCCACAGGCAGTTGACGATAAGCGATAAAAAAAGTCAAGTCGAAAAAAAGTTCGAGTAGTGAAATAATAGTTACCACGAGCTCTTGACTTTCACTGCAATCCATCAAGATGCCGCCATCCCAGCTCAAGAGGCTGAAAGCCTCTCTCCGAGAACAAGGAATCGTTGGTCCTCAGCAATCGAAGAAGCAAAAGAAACAAAACGCACAGAATGGCGCAAACAAGGAGAAGAAAATCAAGAGAAGTGTCGCGCTCAATGGAATTCGAGATCAATTCAACCCGTTCGAAATCAAGCAGGCTAAAGCACCCAAATTCGAAGTTACAAGTAACAAAACACTTGGCGGAAGGATTTCGAAGGGTATCAAGAAACCAGGTGTTGCGAGGGGTCTTGCGGAAGAGAATGTAAGTTCGTTCGAAAGGATGTTTGACATCTGCTAATGTTCTATCAGCGCCGTAAAACTTTACTTGTTGAAATGCAAAGTAGAAATCGAGTAGGAGGCATAATAGATAAGCGTTTCGGAGAAAATGACCCTTCAATGGCCCCCGAAGATAAAATGCTCGAACGTTTTACGCAGGAGAAGCAGAGGGGCCACAAGAATAGCTCGGCATTTGATCTTGAAGACGACGAATTCTCTGGCGAGCTTACGCATATGGGACAATCGCTTTCTTTGGATGGTCCTGCAATCCGTGATGATTTCGACGAGGAGGGATTGGAGTTGTCGGATGCTGACGACCACGAGTCCGACGAGGAACGACAAGCACGAAAGCGCCGCCGAGGCTCAAATTCCGAAGGGTCAGATGAAGATGAAGAGGGAACGGCTTTGCCAGAACGAAAAAAATCGAAGCAGGAGGTTATGAAGGAACTTATCGCTAAATCTAAAATGCACAAATATGAGCGTCAAGCGGCCAAGGACGATGATGAGGACTTGCGAGAAGAATTGGACAAGGATATGTCGAGCATCCATGAACTCCTTCGCGGCATGGCTCAGAAACCGCCACCAGCACCAGCTGCGGCACCTGAGGATATCCCTGGCATGAATCCGGAGCGTATAGCATTGATGAACGGCGGCGACAGAGCGAAGCTGGAAAAGGAATATGATATTCGAATGAGGCAGATGGCGCAAGACAAACGATCCCAACCTACCGAAAGATCGAAAACGGAGGATGAAAAGATGGAGAAGGAATCAAGAAGATTGCGAGAATTAGAAGAGAAGAGATTGCGTCGTATGGAGGGTGTGGCAGAAAGTGACGACGAAGAAGACAATCGCGCACGAGGGGCAGATGACGAGGAGGAAGAGGAAGAAGAAGAAGATTATGGACTGGGAGAAGGTATCAAAACACGACCTAGTGCTGCGGAATTAGGTGCCGATGATGAGGACGATTTCGTTATAGATGATGATCTCGTAGCGAGTGGCTCAGACATCGACGAGTCGGAGGGCGAATCTGATGGAGAGGACGAGGAATCTAATAACGAAGACGATGAGTTTCTCGAAGGTCTGCTTACCGAAGAGGAGGCCAAGAGACCGGAATTCTTGACTGGTGCAAACGCCCCTCTCCCCGAGGTGGAGCTGCCAGCCAAAAATGGTGTAAACGGTGACCTTGCTTATACCTTCCCATGTCCACAATCGCACGAAGAACTTCTCGAGATTACCAAGGGCATAGCTCTATTAGATCTGCCAACGGTTGTTCAGCGTATCAGAGCTCTGTATCATCCTAAACTCAACTCGGAAAACAAAGTAAAGCTAGGAAGCTTCTCCGTCTCTCTCGTCTCTCATATCTCATACCTCGCAAACCAAGCTCAGCGTCCCCCTTTCTCCGTATTAGAAAACATCATCCGCCACATCCATTCGCTCGCCAAAACTTTTCCTCTCGAGATTGCCAACGCGTTTAGACGACATCTCGACGAGATCAATCAGTCACGACCCTTGGCTTTGAAGGCTGGTGATCTCGTAGTTCTCACGGCCATTGGAACAATATTCCCAACCTCGGATCATTTCCATCAAGTTGTCACTCCTGCAATCTTGACCATGGGACGCTATCTTGGTCAAAAGATTCCTCAGGATCTATCCAATTATGCTACGGGAGCATATCTCTGCACTTTATGCTTACAATATCAACGATTATCAAAGAGATACGTTCCAGAGGTAGCCGGCTTCATCGAGAATACCTTATGTGCTTTGGCGCCTAGCAAGTTAGCCAAGATCCCAGGAAGCTTCCCATATCATGAGCCAAAGAACTCTGTGAGGATAGAAAAGGCGTCAACATCAGACAGACAAATTGAATTCTATGACTGTATCCCACAGGAGCTTTCGGCCGACGACGAAGAGTCCTTGAAAGTCGCTTTGTTAGAGGCAAACATCAAAATCTTGAACGCAAGCGCCGATTTATGGACTGAAAAATCAGCCTTCACCGAAGTCTTTGAACCAGCTTTGACGATCCTTAAACATCTGGGAAGTAAATCTTGCAGGTCAAAGCTTCCAGAAAGTAGTCAAGTAAGTCGTACAGCAGAATTCATAAGTCTAAATACTAACCAGCCCTCTAGACCCTCATCCGCAAATCCATCTCCAAATTCCAAACCATGTTACAACTAGCGCACCTTGCCCGTCGTCCTCTCGAACTCCACCACCATAAACCCCTCGCCATCAAAACCTCCATCCCCAAATTCGAAGACTCCTACAATCCAGATAAGCACTATGATCCAGATCGCGAACGCGCTGAAACTGCTAAATTGAAGGCTGAGCACAAGAAGGAGAGGAAGGGTGCTATGCGTGAATTGCGCAAGGATAGCAATTTCATTGCCAGAGAGAGCTTGAGGCAGAAGAAGGAGAAGGATGCGGCGCATGAGAAGAAGATGAAGAGACTTATTGCGGAGATCCAGGGTGAGGAAGGAAAGGAGTCGAAGGCTTATGAGCGGGAGAAGGAGTGGAGGAAAAAGGGAAAGAAATAGATATCTCTCTCAAAGGATGTGAAGTAATGGCGGTGCGGTGCCATATGCGGTAGTGTCACCACGTAATGTGTGGATTGGTTAGTGGTGTACATGTTGGATCTGTGGACCTGAAAGAAAATCATTCATAAATGATATAGATACCAGCTCAAAGGTTAAAAGAATAAGATCTATTTTCCATATTGCTTGCTCTTCGTAAAGTTATGCTTTGTCCCTCGTTATCATGCTTTGTTATTCATTATGTCCATATGCGAATCATTCTTCCATCCCTTTCGAAAATCAATTTTGCCTTCAATACCTCCATATATTCATGGCCCCACCCGACCTGAGAATTAATTTACACTCAATTTCTCAATACTCTTTCTCAACTCTTCATTCTCCTTGGTAATACCACTGTATTTGTTAATCCAGTCGAAAACCTCCTTATGCCAGACCCTTGAGTTTTCAGGCTTCAAGACCCACTAAGATCACACAACATTAGCATTATACTACAAAAACCGAGCATCTCAGGGGGAGGGGAAAAAACTGACATGGTTTTCATCTGGGAACGTCAAGAATCTACTTTCTACTCCACGTGTTTGTAACACGTTGAATGGAGCAAGCCCCTCTGAAATGGGCAATCGATAGTCCAAATCGTTGTGGATGATTAGATGAGGGGTTGCCCAGTTAGCGACATGGTTGGCAGGATTCCATTTTGCGTATCCTTCGGGGTTGTCCCAGATTGTACCTTCGAAATCGTGATGGGGGAAGAAGAGTTCGTCGGATGTGTATTGGTTTAGAGTTGAGAAGACACCGTCGTGGGTTACGAGAGCTTTGAATTTTCGTCCCAAATCGTGACCTTGGATCCAGTTTACCATGTATCCACCGTAACTGGCGCCACACGCTACAGCACGGTTGGTATCGACGTAGGATCTAGCTTGTGTTAATATTGACTAACAGGTGTGGGAGATCAGGAACATTCTGAAAGCTTACAGGTTCTCTTCAATATACTCGAATCCCTTGACAAGGTCTATATATGGTCGTCCACCCCACTGACCTTTGATGCCATCTTGCAACGCCATACCATAGCCAGTGCTTCCTGTTGGGTTCGGGGTCACTACAACATAACCTTGTTCGGCAAAGACCGCGGGGTTCCATCGCGTGCTCCATCCTTCGTTCCAGGCACCTTGCGGCTAAGTCTATGATTAGTATGTTGCAGAATTTATTGTCAGATATTGAGTGACTTACTCCGCCATGAATGAGATACGCAAGAGGATATTTCTTGTTTTCATCGAAGTTCGATGGTCGGAATACCCAAGCGTGGACTTTGTAATCTCCAGCTCCTGTATACCAGAATTCATCAACCTGCTTTTGTGAAAGTCCGAAAGCTTTTCCATCATCTGAGCTGGATGAAACTGCGATTCTTTCCGAGGGTTTGGATGGGTCTATAATCGAGTAGACGCTGTTGTCAATTAAGGAACTCCCACTAAGAAATATTTCACCACTTGGGAGAACATGCTTTTCCGTGATAGTTCCGCTATTAGTCAGAGCTTCGGGTAATTTAGTAGCATGGCGTGGAGAAGCTGGTAGTTTGAACAGCTTTACTCGGCCGTCTTCTTCTGCTGTTACGTAGATCTGGGTTCCGTCGTTACTGAACGTGACACCCTCGGGTTTCAAGTCCCATCCACCCTTGCCGTCCTCTGTTTCGAAGAATTCTTGGACATTGGTGAGGTCAGTAATGTCAGGTATCAACAAAAGTCTTGTCTTATCACTTTCGTACTGAATACCTGGTTTTTGTTAGAAAATTGCTCGCTTAAGAGATGAAAACATGTTACATACTCTTCATTCTTGTGAAAATCACAGACTTAGCATCTGGCGACCACACGGGCCCTTGACTGTAGCCTTTCAGGTTACCAGTCTCGACTAACTGAGGCGTTGGAGCCTCTGACTCTGTGAATGTCTTCAGAGGAATGTAGTATAGATCAGTCTTCGTATAGTTGGCTGGGTCAATCTTGGGATCCTTGGCAACGAAGACTATGCCGTTTTTACTGATATCGAAATCTCCTGTTCCTCCAAATGGTGGTACTGGGGACTCAAGAGATATTTTATGACCCGTCAAAGCATTCACCAATCCAGAGACTTTAGCATCTCCAGATCCCTCGCCTTTTTTAATCGTTGCATACCAGATCGCATTCTTGTTTTCAGTAACCCATGCATCCCATTCTCTCACAAATAGCTTTGAGTATGTTTTAGCCGTTGACAGAGGCTTCTTAGCTGTTTCAGCATTGTATAAAGTACCGGATGGAGTTGCCAAGCCTGGGGGAGGCGAGAATTAGCTATACTTGAAGCGACGGTATATTGAAACTAGACAGTATCCGACGATATGACTAAGATAATCGAACGTTCGTACTGAACTATTTTTCACGTGGATTTGAACTTCGAATTCATTCGGAAGTTTCGAAGAAGAAAAAAGGACAAGTAATTATAGTACATACCAGAAACAGCTATAGCTACAACATCCGAAGTAAGAGCTGTAAGTTTCACGTTTGAGATGCCACCGTCGAAAGTCGTGATAATTTTGGGCCTACAAGCTGTTAATCAAAGTTTGTTCATGAATGATACCTATATTGAGTCATATTTACTTCTTTTGTACATCATCTGCATCGGCCAATACCAAATGTGTCACTCCCTTCTCTCCAGCTCTCAACCATAGTACCTCATTCTTCCATCCCAGCCACACTGGCTCACTATCATTCGCATTATCGCTCAGGGTTGAACTTTCCCCAGTACCTATATTTAACACATTGATTTTGGCAGTCTTTGAATGAGATTGAAAAGAATACGTCGAGACAGTATACAATGCCAGTTTACCATCTGCGTTTGGTGTTGCTGCTGATCTCCGAGGGGCAGAAATCAACACCTCGGGGGTGAAGGTGGAGGAATTAAACCGGATAGTCATGATTTGATTGTTCAACTTGATTCTGCTTCAGAAAGGAATGTAATGTCTGATTTTTCGATAGTTTTATGGCTCAAGTTTTGAATTGAACAAGTGTTGTTGACAATTGAGAGTTAGAAAACAACAAAATATTGAATATGGCCACTCTAGATCTTACACCGCAATGGAGCTTCAAATTAACATGCACGTGATATGCGAGGCAAGCAAGTTCAACAGAAACCCCGCAAATGATATCCGACACTAGCCTTGAAATCAATTTAGTCAGATTTAACGTGAATGTCCACGTTCTTCTATCAACAGTCCAACAGTTAATTCCATCCGTCTCTGATATTAGAATGTCATGGCTACCTTTCTGAACTCAGCTACGTACCAGATAGTCGAGGCAGTAGAATACTTATATCTCCGCCACAGATTGCCTTGCCGATATTTTGGTCCAACCTTGCCCTTGGCAACGGAAAGCGCTGTACCTAGGTTCATCAGGACCTCTCCACTTGCTCATGTTGGGAGTCAATTAGACCAATTTTCCACCAGTCAATAACAATCGTCAAATATACTTCAGTAACCTATTCAAAGTCGTGGATGTTATTCTTTCTCTTTAGGAAAAAATATATATGCAGTCCAGCTCTAGCCTTTTCGCATCTCTTTGTTTCATCTGTGTTTTCGTACTACAATTCAATTTAAGGAATTATATTGAGGCTTGCATATCTATACCAAGTTAAGCCATTCCTTTCGCTGCCGTGTAGCCCATCCTCTTCGGTGCTGCTGCGCGTCAACGAATCTCATACTCTCATCTGGGGGCCAAGTGTCTCCAGGATCGCTTCCCTTGGTAACGGTTTAATCACAAAACCCGATTAAAGGACTAGAATTGGATGAGATCCCCATTTATCCTAGGCTCCCAAGAATTACAATTACAATTTCTTACATATTAGTGCTACTTATGACTATATGGTGTTTGTTATTTATATAACCGTGCTTGTTGGCTGCTTCGCGTGCTACTTACTATCCGCGATTTCCTCTTCGTCTTCGTTTTCTCTTTATTTCACTGCGCTTATTTCCCGTATGTTTTTTTATTAATTGTTGGCCGAAGACACGATCATGTTTTCATTTCGAGGGTTTATGCTACAGTTGATGATAATAGCAGTATGTCGAGCCGAGATAACTTTTAAATCTCCTTCCATGGGAGAAGTTGTTGACCCAGGACCATATAAAATTCGTGCGGGTGATAGCGGGATAGTGCCCACGCTGGGACAATTTGATGATGCCAGTTGGGAGGTTGTTCTTTTCACTGGAAATGATACTGCTCCAGTAAGTTTGATTTCGCTTGGATGCATTCATACGGTTTATATATCGCAAGGAGGAGAAAGAGAAAGGTTAAATCCGGATCGATGAAGCAGATTGACGAAGTGATGCTGAATACATATATTCACAGTTTGAACTTTATATATTCAAATTATCTGGGTACCAAATGAGCAATCCAACGACTCAGTCCCCTCCAGTGAATATCAGAAACAGCTCAGGTCCGAACCTGGAAGACAAATAGTAAGATACCTGTTACCTCCCTTTAGAGCACCTACCAATACAGAATAGCTTTTTCGGCTACCGCTCCTATCTGACATCAAATGAATCTATATGGATCACAGCCTACTCGGACCGATTTACTCTTACAAACATGACCGGTTCCTTGCCTGATGATGTGGTTACCGCAAATGACAATGTGAACTCGACAACTGCTCCAAAACGAACAATCTCTTGCGGCGCAAAGTCTGGAGGAGAGGTGAGTCTACCCGATCCACCAATTACTTTGCTTTAATTGCATACTTCTGTTCCCTGACCTCAAACTTTACCTCTATTTTGCATTGCACATGCCCCTTTTGCTACATTATTGGCAGCTCGTTTTCCTCGTTTCCTCCAGAAAATGTCCTCAAGACGCAATACTGACCTTCATATCTTACAGTGTGACGAGAAGGTCTTAGAAAACCTGGGACTGGGATCAGTGACGACAAATACTCCAAGTGTTAGTACAACGGCCGCAGCAACCACAATAGGAACTGCTCCAGAGAACACAACTTCCGATACCAACGAGGATAGTAGTAAAAGATTAAGCCGTGGAGCATTTGCGGGAGTAGTCGTGGGTGTCGCGGTAGCAATATCGATAATGATCGCGGCGGGGGTGTTCTTTATAATGAAAGCCAAGAAGAAGAACGTGCCGAAACGAGAAACGATTAGAATTAATGAAAGTTTGCCGAATCAGGATTCGAACGCATTTCATAGAGGGGATACTTACGGAGGAATGATGAAGAAGAATGGGATCGAAGATGTGGGCAGACGAGAGGAGTTGGAAGATCGTAGAACGTATGAGATGAGTGCGGGTCACCATGGAGTAGCGGAGATGCCGGTAAACTCGTGAGCTCTATCAAGATAACAATAGACGTGGGATGACTAGACTAGGTATACTTCTAATAGCCACTTGTTCCATATATTCAACATGTGTGTAGCGTTTTGACAGTCTCAAAATACTGGCGATAAAAACCTTGGGCTGGATGTCATTTGGGATCTTAAATCCGCTTTGACAATTGCAGTACTCTCGAAGAACCACACTTCTTTGAATATCTAAAGGTTTACATATAATTTGCTGTAATCCGCATCATTGAAACACCTCTTGGAATACGACACTCTGGTTTCCAACGAGAGTAAGCCATTTGTTGATTAACAATGTACAATCTTAAGTATATGAATCCCTCTAACGCGAACAATCCTCCCCTATTTCTCCGCTTCTCATCTCATGACTCTTCACGAACATTTCGAGACGAAATCGGATATGAAGCGTCACCATCTTTCAATTCACCAGTAAGCTGTTGGTGGAAAAGCTAGTTCGTACATCAGCCCACTAAAGCGAGTGTTGATCTTTCTGGTTGACTCTGGACTCCGCTATAAGATCTCCTTCGTGCATCCAATTCTTTGTCGCAATCGTCGAATGCGTATATTTATGTTGATCTCGACTTTTGATTGCTTACACAGATCGCGAGTGCAGCCAGCTAGAAATCTACATCTTCAACAGTTCTTTCATCATCAACCGAGTTGTATTCCCCTAAGAAAGAAAGGGTTTGTGCATTTGGCTGTCATATTCTATAACCTTGGGTTGGTGAATGATGGGTTTGTGTACCTAGGTATTTGGGTTAAATGGACTGACTGAGATATGGATGAGAAAAGAATTGAATATGGAAAAAGGACTATCAGATCAGATATGATGAATGCTTCTTTGATGATTTCATATTCATAAGTGTCACATTTTTCGCAATAAGACTAAACTTTAGAGCTTCTGAACGCCCAACCCTAAAGTTTCAAACCCCGCAGAGGATGGATGATCCGATACCACAATACCGGTACTATGTACGCGTGACTGCCCCACAAGAATAACCCTTCGTTCGTCAGCCTTGTGGGTTACGATTCTGAACAAATCCATCAACCCATAATTCTCATCATAACCACTTTCTTCACTGAATGTAGTTTCAACAAACATGGCGATGCTATCGCCAGCAGGACAGGAGCGATTGTTGTTTTTAGGGCTGGGGATTACAACTTGTGCTGTTTTGGCCTTCGTGCGTTATCGCCTCGTTCATTTTCGTGAAGCTGCCACAATTCCACCACCCGAGAACAAATCGCATTTCATCGACCAGAAGACCGAGGATTCTTTGAAACTCAGTACATTGGAGAAGTTGATCAAAAATCCGAATTACGGAATTCAAGAGACTGCATCAATTATCGTCTGCGAACGTGCTCTGCACAATGAATACGCCATTAACAGCCTACTTCATGAAATTAGTCAACCAGAATACGGCAAACGAGCGATAGCAGTTCGAGCATTTATCTTGATTGTGAACAATTGTATGTATTTCTACTCTCAACTTCCTGTTTCATTAGGCTCATCCTATTCTAGCGACTGTCAAACGTATACACAAGCCCGAAACATATGAAGCACTTGTCAAAAGCTTGGAATATTCTGTTGAGGACTACGTGCACCATGAATACGACCCAGACTGGGATAACTGGCCCCTTCGCGACACAGCGGAGAAAAGCTGTCTCATGATAATAAACGAGTTGATTTACAAATACGGTGTTCAGGAACTTCTCAACGCTGGGTTTATAGAACGTTGGTTGGTGAAAGAGCCTTGGGGTGTAACCACAGAGGAACGTTCAATCAACTTTATGGACTCCCTCAACAAAGAGAAGAGCTTGAATCGAGTGATTGTGCCACTATTTCATGACCAAAGGGGCAGGAAAATGTTAGAGGAAGCGAAACTTCTACCCGCAAGTCCTGATTCAGCTGCAAGGTACCTTGCGACGAAAGGAACTGAGGATCAAGACATGGAGGAATTCGACAGCTATTATGCCGAGAGAAGACCAAGGGATCAAACTATGGCAGAAGATTATCTCAGAAGACGCCATAGGGAGGCCATGGTTTTGAACGATGGCACAAGGCCCTTCGAAAGAGGCGACATTTATGAAAATCAACAAAGACCTAGGGGGTCTATGGAATGAAACGAAAATATTCATACAAGAAGAAAAATCGAACGACTCCAGGCAAAGTCAAAAGGTTTGCTTCAACAACCTACATACCCCAGTAGTCATTCTCTGAGGTATGTTCTACATTGGAACAATAATATACAATATCGCCTTGCTCTTGTGGTTTCTATATAAGTAACTCGCTAATCTGGACAATGGCTACAGAAAATATAAGTTTTCAAGTGTTTATATAGCGTTCACTACCTATGGAGCGAAAGGACTAGGACATAACAGCACCCATTGCTTTATGGGCTGAAATTTCGAGCTCCTACAATTGCCTGCCTAGATTAAGGTTAACAAGGGTGAAGCTATCGGATATCTTGACATTGAAGTTAAAGGGTACACCAGTATCAGACAGAGAAATTGTTAGCTTCAAGTTACCAGACAATCAAAGTTCTAATTAATCGTAATTAATTTCTTTCCAAACTGAGTGATGTCCTAGATGTCCTAGATTCCTAGTGCACTTTATATGCTACAAAATACTCAAGCTCCGAGCTCAGATGACGGACTATCATGATGCTTACCCTGATGCTTACCCGTACCTGTCTGTACTTGTCTGTACCTGCATCAATTGCAAGGACCAGGGGGCCATCCTGACATCAAAACAATGTTGGACAAGCAACGAAAGGGAAGACTCTCCCAAACTGTGAATTCCTATATCAATGATGTCGCGAAGCTTGTATGTGCTTTATTCACTCATCACTAGGTGTCTAAACTGTATGGTGTGTACTTCCTGTGAAGTTTGATTTCGAGGTTCACGGAGCTAGAGAGACAATAAGTCGTATCTATATTAAGATCCCCACACATTCCGATAGGCAGAGATACCTCTCGAATTACTGGTAGATTTAATCAGATTTATCAGTTCATGAGAGACATGTTAGCAAAAGCATTGATCACCGAAAGATACTACAGGACATCCTTTGAATGGGGGTAATATAGAATCACCCAATATAGACAATCAATTGAAGCTTAAAGAAGGACCATGAGGCGTTTCGCTGGGCCATCTAATTAACAATGATGAGGACAGCTGCTTCATGTGAACCATGTCCTTTCCAGCGGAATAGGAATAGTGGATTAGATCGGATAGGTATGTAATATACACCTGCAGAAGCTTCATGATGGGGGCCCGGACTATGCTTCCATAGGAAACGGTAGAATGATCTTACAGAACAAGGAATGAGGAACCACAATTTGATTACACTCATGCCCACCGATGCCATTGGCTATATTTCCGTATCGAATGTTGACTTTGATCTTCTTCCACTCTCAAGTTCACCGTGATACTCTTCCTTCTGTTGCAGGGGTCGGATCAACATGTCTATAAACAAACATATGTACCGGCGTTGATCTCTCCTGCAGACTGCATTTGCATTTGCACTTGCACTTGCACTGCTTCTCTCTTTCTCCTGCCGTTTCCAAGTCTTCTTCTACTGCCTACCTAGCTATAGGTGAAGGAGATAACTTCTACGTACCTGCCATATCCTTCACATCTTCTGCCCCCACAAGTTCATTCATAATCCTTTCTTCCTCTTGTTTTATCTAGCATTACCTTGCAATTCTTAGTAACGACTGTGGACGTCAATCAATGAAAAGAACGACAAATCATCTTAGAATTATTGTCCCCATCTTTCATAACGATACAAATGCGAATTGAATAACATTCGGCTTTATTTTGAGAGACAAAATCAAAGTTAATTGTATAGGGGCTTCTACCAGACAAACAAGAACGTTGATTGGCTCACATTGGTGAATTGTGAGGGGTGGGAATACAGAAAACAATAATAGGGAGTATTTTGGGTGGATTGGTACAAATGTCGACCACAAGAATCTCAACACCGAAAAGGTCACCCAAAAAATCGACTTTCGTCAAAACGGGAATTTTGAGCACCAAATCAACACCCAATCTCAACGCCTCCTATAATTTGGCATTACTACAAGCTTCAGGAGCTACACCCGTTCCTGCATATCCTTCCAATAACGGTCAAGGTTTTGCCTTAAATAATCCTAGGTCGCAACCGTCTCGACAAGTCTCACTTGCTTCCCTTACCTCAAATTCACTTGCGACAATCCCAGATGCAAGCAAGAGATACCCTCTTTCTACAGTTTTTGATGAGGATATGCCAACAGTAGGCAACATGCCACCATACACACCTGCTCGGGTTGGCGGTGGGCCGGAGGAACTAGAGGTTGGTGATATAGTCGATGTACCAGGTAACATGTATGGCATTGTCAAATTTGTTGGCAGCGTGCAAGGCAAAAAGGGTGTATTTGCTGGAGTAGAATTAAGTGAAATGTTTGCTTCAAAAGGAAAAAACAATGGAGATGTTGAAGGGTGAGCCATTCAAGCATTTACGTCTGCAGACAATGAACTGATTGATGTTCGATGCAGAATTCACTACTTCGACACAACAATCGACGGTGCTGGAATTTTTCTTCCAGTTAACAGGGCGACAAGACGTAGCACCCCTTCTTCGCACGATGAGTCATTTCCCCTTTCACCGGCTTCTCCATCGATGGGCAACAGGGCTGGGAGATTAGGACCCGAGTTAAATGGTCAACCAACACCCTCGTTACCAAGATTCAGTCAATCTGTTGGTCCAGGCAGAACAGCAAACCCATATGTTCAAAAGACACGACCATCCATGGCTACACCTACTACTTCAAGACCAGAGTCACCAGTTCGAAGAGCACCCAATGCTAACCCATCATTAAATACACCTGCACAAAGGGTCCCATCTCGATATGCAAGCCCTGCACAGGCAAACTTTGGACAGAGCGTTAGAGGAACACAAGATTCTAGAGATCCAAGTAAGAAAGTTGGTTATACCCCCCGAAATGGCTTGAAAACACCAGTACCTCCACGAAGTGTTTCCGCACTTGGAACGGGGAATAGATCTGCACCAATGAACTCGATGAATTACAGTGATGAAGAGACACCTCCTGCAGAGATTGCACGCACGGCAACAAACGGAAGCGTAGGCTCAGTCTCTTCCTTTAACGCGAAATTACGACCTGCATCAAGATCCGCATCGCGTACAACCTCCCGGGCTACTGACGACGAATTTGAGCGATTGAGAAGTCTGTTAGAAGATCGCGATAGGGAAATAAAAGAACAGGCTTCCATTATTGAAGACATGGAGAAAACTCTCAGCGAAGCACAATCGTTGATGGAGAACAATAATGAGAACGCGAGTGGTAGACATAGTCGGGAAAGTGTGGATGACAAAGACGTAACACAGTTAAGGGCAATTATACGTGAAAAGAACGACAAAATCGCCATGCTGACTGCAGAGTTTGATCAGCATCGAGCTGATTTCAGAAGCACGATAGACACGCTCGAAATGGCCGGTGCGGAAACCGAGAGAGTATATGATGAGCGCATGCGTGCTCTTGTAATTGAGCTCGATACAATGCACGAGAATAGTCATGATGTCAAGCACGTTGCTGTACAACTGAAACAGCTAGAAGAGCTCGTTCAGGAGCTCGAGGAAGGTCTTGAAGATGCACGACGTGGTGAAGCCGAAGCTCGGGGTGAAGTTGAGTTCTTGCGTGGAGAGGTTGAAAGAACTCGATCTGAACTCCGTCGCGAGCGAGAGAAGACTGCCGAAGCTCTTAGTAACGCAAATTCTCCTGCGAGCGCAAGTGCGGGAACACATTCCAAAGAGATTGCGCAGAGAGATGACGAGATTCGTGGATTGAAAGCCATCATTCACTCGCTCAGTAGAGATGCCATACCCGATGGAAATCTCTCGGATCAGGACACAACACCAAACATTTTACGACCTGGTCTTAGTCGAAGCCGTACAGAAAGCGCTTCAGTTTCTGAAGAGGAGCGCCGTATCCGGGAGAAGCTAGAACAAGAAGTGAGTGAGCTCCGTGCTCTGGTAGAAAGCAAAGGCAATAAAGAAGAACAGATGGAGCGCGAGTTAGAGGGACTACGAAGGGGAAGTGTTGGCAATCCTACCACGCATCGTACTAGTGCCATGAGCAGTGGAACTGTGACTCAGGATAGAAATCCTCTCCAAGATACTAAGAGCACAGTTGAAAGCTGGCGAGAACGTGGAACCTCAGATGCTTACCGTAATAATCTGGAGACAATGCCTGAGAATGACGGCTACTCCTCTGCAGCTGAGGACTTCTGTGAATTGTGCGAAACCTCAGGTCATGATGTCCTACATTGCCCGATGTTTGGCCCCAACGGTAACAGCAGCAATTCTAAGGATGAGTCTCCTAAACAGCATCGAACAGGAAAGGATGTTGTCATGGAGGGACTTAAATTATCACCCAAGCCATCCCAGGAAGAATACAAACCGGCACCCTTAGTGCCAGCCAAGAAATCTCCTGATGCATCGCCTATCAAAACTATTCCCAATCTCATGGAACCAGGAGCTGCACCAGGAAAGGAAAGTGGAGTAATTAATATGGATAAATGGTGCGGTGTATGTGAACGGGACGGACATGACAGTATTGATTGTCCTTTTGAGGATGCTTTTTAGGAGACTACTGTTCCAGATGTTTCAGGATAAGCTATCACAACGTATTTTCTTATTGCTTTTTTTTTAGTCACAGGCAAGGCCGCATTGCATTGCAGGAGTGCTATCCGTCTGCGATATACCCTCTCGGTTCTCTATTTCAAGTATGCTTTTCATGCGACAAGTCAGGGAGAAGATGATGTTTTCACGAGGATTGGATGAGGTGAAACTGGGTTGAATTTTGGGGAGGGGAGGTTAACATGAGTTGAACGGACGTAATGATCATGTAGTATACTTTGTCAGATTAATGATTCAAATGCAGCATTTGATTTTGGATGGAAGTGCTCATTTTTTAGCATGTGAAATGTTCGTTATTAATTGATTTCGTAGACGAAATTCATCATGATTGTAATTCCAGCTGGGACTGGTGAGATTATGAAGATTACTGATATGAATGTGTAGTGGGAGAGAGGGGGTTCTCAGTCGAGTATCAAGAAGAATCTCTTTCGTCGCCGGATGATCACTACTGCAATGAATCACTAGGGAAGGGGATTATACGCAGAGAAAAATTTGTTTCAAGTTTAATAACAGTGGTATATTCAGACAGCTTCCATAACGCCGTCTTCAACGCCTATGATCTTTCCAACCCACATAGCACAATAGATGCTCATTACGACTTTTCTACTCCACACGCAACTCTTACTAATTCCTCCAATTCTTCTGGCGTCATCTCCTTGATTCCAAAAACACTATTATGCACGCGCTCGAAGTTTCCTCCGAAATCAAAACTCGAGTCCGAATCTGAGCTTGCGTCGGTGCGAATGTTCCATTCTTGACCGGGTGTGAGTGATTGGGCGATTGACAAGAGTTTTTCATGGGAGATGTCAATATCTTTGATGCGGATAGGTCGATTTGCCGTTTCGCGTGGGTGGGTGAGGATTCTCCGGACGGCTTTTGAAAGACTAGGGAGAGTGGTGAGGGAGATGGGGGTGGTTTTTGATTGGGGGTTGAGGGTCGCGGTGCGGGATTGGAAATCGAAGAAGAGGTTGTTTTGGAGGGATAGTTCGAGGATGGGGTTGCTGAAGAGGAGGGTGTAGCTTAGAGAGGTGTGGGTGGCTTGCTCTTTGAGGTATTCTTCGATGGCGATTTTCTGGGCGAAGAGTTGCTTGCTGGCGGAGAGCGAGTGGATGCGCGGGGAATAGAAATCATAGCTGTATTCTGAGGGGAGGAATCGGTGCACGTGGGCTTGGATGCAGGCGTCTATGAGGAGTTTTTGGGTGGGGATGGCGCGGGGGGAGAGGGCGGAAATCAGGGCGTCTTGGTGGGTTAGGGCGTGGGTTAGAGAGGGGAGAGAGGTGTAGTCGACTTGGATTACTTTGAGCGCGCGGGCGAATAGTGATTGGTAGGTGGTGGAATCACGGGTTAGGATTGTGATGTCGAAGAGTTCGGATTTGAGGAGCTCGGTGACGATTGCTTGGCCTACTGGGCCGGATGCCTGGGGGTTGTTATTTGAGAGGGGAGATGGAGAAGAGAGATGGGGATGGGGATGGGAGTGGGGACTAACGCCAGCTACAGCGACTTTTTTGATGGTTGTGTCGAATGGCATGATGAGGAGATCGCGATTTGAGTAGAAGTAATGGATACAACAATATAAACGCCTGTGGGATTGCAAGAAGAAAGCTTAAGATAGAGAATAAAACTTGGGATACTTTCTTTTGCTTTTATACAATACATTTCTTGCAACTGGTCATGTCTGGTTGTGCAGAATATGGGCTGATGAAATCACACCACTGGGTGTTCCGATTCATCAACGTCCAAGAATCAGCACGCGTGGATTTGTAAATTGCATCGCTCTTGGCCGGATGGATATCAAGTTTATTAGTTGTGAACACTTTCGTAATGGTTCGATGGTTTTGCATTTTTCGATTTTTGTTTTCGCTTCCATATCTCAATGAATCCTGCTGGTCCAGGTGTTTTCATTCTTGAATCTAGGCGTGGACAGGGGGGTTGGAGTAGTAATCCGCGATGTGTCGATAGGTTTTTTCTATCTCACGTTTTTCCTATTGCTCACTGGCATGTTGTTTTGAAAAAGTTCAATGTTCGATGAGACAATAAGTTGGGTTTTCTATCTATCTTGTAGTTGTCGATTGATAGGTTGAACATATGCTAGAACCGATCAGGGATAGTGGAATAATAAGCTCCCAAAGCTCTTGCTCGCTTGCTGAGCACTACTTATCATCTACCTACCTAGGTAGTATCATCTAACATTCATTCATGACAGTGGTTTCCTATTCTGTTTCTTAAGATCTGAAATCCATAGTACCTTCCCAAAACGATTCAAAATGGCATTGATCTTTATTTACTCACCTCGTTGCGTTTTTCTTCACTCATCCCACAATCTTCATCCCTCACAATTCATACCAGATTAGATTTTTGGAAGAAATAGTTGATATCTCCTCACTCGTTCTTTTGACCTGTTAATCATTCTTTGATTTTGGAAAGCAAACTGAAAACATACGAAACTTCAATTTGGCAGTCCTGGTTGTACAAAAAAGCTTGCCGCCTACGAACTCGGACAATCATATTAACTTAAAGTCAATATGGCAGAGAATCCCAATGTTTTCGAGCCTTGGAATGACTCCGAGGAGGAACCCGGGTTGAATCAGCAGTCCAAGTCTACGTATACGCCTACGTATACACTTGCGTCCAATCCCAATCCTGATACCAAAACAACTGTACCCTGTGGAGAGAAATTATCGAAGATTCGGAGCAGACATAAAAATCGTATTAATCGAGCCATCCAAGTTCATTTCAAGCATACGCCACTCAGTGTACTGAAGTTTAGCAGGGAAAAGGCTCCATATGACCGTACCAGGACTTTATCCTTAGAATACGAAGCTGTTCATGCCGATGATACAACTCCTTATCTTAGTGTTTGTCCTGCTTCTCTTTATGATAGTAGAGTTGGTGCATTTGGAAATATTTTTGACCTTACAAATGGAATCGCCTGCATTGAAGGACCCTCTGAGAGCCCGTACGCTGGAGGTATCTTCTTTCTGCACATTTATTTTCCTGTTCAATGGCCCAAACGGCCTATGAAAGTGCGCTTTTTGACACAGATTTATCACCCCAACTTCAGTGCAGATGAAGATTTCCGCCTGCCCAGCAACACAGCTGAATGGCTCACGGAGAATTCTTTACAGAATGTTCTTTTGACGATATTCTCACTTCTTAGCGAACCCGAGCTGGATGAGGATTTTATACCTGAGATTGCGAAGGAATATATCGATGATTACAATGGGTTCTTCGAAAAGGCAAAACTTTCAACAATCGAACATGCGTCGCAGACGAGATTAGATGTGAGGAAATTAGTGACAGATTGGATACAAGACTACGTGACCTTTGATTACGCAGTTGCTGCATGTCATAAGGCTCTCATGCTATGGCGTAAGAACACATGGGAAGCATTACCAAAAGATGGTAGCCACGAGGAAGTCAGTTTACAATGCATCATACCAGACTCTGCTATAGCCACCATATCTCAGAACCTGAGGAGATTGTGTACTAGCGAAATCGGACTTGACGAACTGGACTTGAAGGAATGGTGTAGACGTGATATGTATTTAAGAGACCATTCCCAGTCATCGCTTGGAAATACACTGGTTGTAGTGTGGCTCAAGCTTCAAGATGAAAAGAGAGGTATTGAAAACGACGATTATATCCTTCCTGGTGCAGCTTCAAATGATATTGTTGAAGCATGCCAGCTTATGCTTAGGCGGTGGCGTGATAAAGTATGGGAAGCGTACCCAGAAGATACTTTCAAGGACCGTGAATCCGTCATGCCAGATTCTGCTATCGTCACCATATCTAACAACCTGGAAAAAATAGGCTCTGGTCATATCAAACTTGAGCATCTGGACTTGTGGCAATGGAATTACAGCACGGAATTTCTAGCTGAAGACAATGAATTTTGTCTTCGGAAATTCCTGCAAAAGTTGTGGGACGGCCACGTCAAGGCAAGAGACGAAACTACAAATACAGCTGCTCCAGAGGACGGTCATAGCTCAAGGTCTGAAGGGCCGAAGTCTCCCCGGAGACTTCAGCTTGGTCTCGAGTCTGAACAGAAACCATCGTCTATCAGATGGGTTGGTGTCCGTTCTGGTAATATTAAAAGCTCAAGGTCCAAGCAGGAAGCACGAGTTACAAAAAGTGAGGCGAGTACCAGGGTTAAGAAGCCAAAGTTCAAGCGGAATCTTAAAATCACAAGAGAGGCTCCTAATGCCGAAGCTAGCAGCTCAAATTCTGATCGGGGAGCAGAAATTGCAGAAGATGGACTCGACTCAGAGACTAGAAGCCCAAACTCTAATACGGGACCACAAATTACAAGTCCCGATCTTGATCCCATCATACGAGATTTGAAGTCTAAAGTTGAAGAGCTAAACCTGAACTTATCAATTTTGATAGATGATCTCAGTTCCATTTCTGAAAAGGCCAACAAGCGTCTCAAGGAAAGCAGTAAAGGAAAGGGCTCACAAACTATAAAAAGCGATCTTGATCCCGACATGCAAGATTTGAAGTCTGAAATTGAAATGTCAAACTTCACCTTACCGATTTCGGTAGATGTTATCCGTTCCACCGCTGAAGAGCTAAACATAACAATGTCGGAAGATGGACTCATTTCCTTCGCTGAAGAGTTCAACAGTTGGTTCGAGTAAGGCAGTAAAGGCAAGGGCTCTGTTACAAAGTAAATAAAGATTTCCGAGCAACTTGCGTAATGATGATATACCATCATGATCACCATACCTCGGTAGAACATGGAACAACATGTCTATGTTGACCCAAACAGGCTTCTTTGCACAGAAACAGCTACATTGATAGTAACGATTCGATAAGGACATTCTGTCTCAGGGATAAGATCGAATATCTCTGTATGGACAAATCGAACTATGCGAAAATCCGACACTCGATCATTAAAACTTTCTATTTCTTAATCCTTTGTATTTTTTTTTTTTTTTGAACCGCAGTATTGTAAGTTTCCCTGGATATTGAGCAAGTTTGAGAATCAAACTAATCCAGGTCTCAGCAGTATCGAACTCCTCGCCTGCAGCTCGTCTTGAGAAACCAGCTGTACAGCCCGGGCTCTTGAAGGATGAATTTTGTCCGCAGAACACTCGTTCTTCATTCATAACTCTTCCTAATGTTTGAGCGGCTATCATAATTTCCTGCAAAGATACTGGAGTCCCCCGATCATCTTCACGTATCAAACAGACTGGTGGGATCACCAAACGGGCAGCCGAAGTAGCTTTTGTTAGGGAATCGGCCACAATTTGTAGTTTTAGCTTGGCTTTGTAATCCCTAGCCATTGTATCATTAAGATCATGGTAGTATTTCTGTCTGGCGTTTCTTGCTGGGAGGAAACTATCTTGATAATCAGTATTAATGTTTATAGTCCACTTCTATAGAATTCAAATCAAAAACACTCGCTTTCACATACTAGCATGGCTGCTCCCAGCAGTGATTTCCCGAAGACTGGTACCTTTTGGAACCGCAAACGCACATAAGAAAGCTAATCCCACCATCCTCCAACTTTTTCTTTTAATGTGATTCTCTCAGTAATGCTCATCTCATCAAGAGCACTTGCCATAGGTACTGCGCCCAGGAATGACTACATACTATGATTTCTTTCCCCGCGTCGATCTCTTACTGTATATCATTTATAATAGTGGTAATATCGTCTGTGAAATCAGTGGTGGGGATGGTTCCACCTGTGGAGAGTATGGCGATGGGTATCCATGGATGATTGAGAGATCTGAGAATTCTGAGTACTTGGGAAAAAATAGAGGGGTGGTGTCAGGCGCTGTGGAGGAATGTTAGTGTGGGTGGCATGTTGGGCCGGGATGATGGTGCGGGTGTTAATGTGGTACCTATGTATTTGCAAGAGAAGATTGTAGAAGGGAGGGGGAGGGGGAATGGGGGATGGAGGAGAGGGGGTGGGGGTTGATTAATGGTGTGTGGAGTTTAGGGGTTTATAGGCTAGGTTAAGTGATCATGAGTATACGTGTATTTATATATGTGGATAGAGAAAGTGTGGGAGAGAAATGCAGTAGAAGGATTTGAATTTCTCGAATAGACTTCAATCCAGACTGTCAGAAACACTGAGATGGATGGTGGAGTGAGATGAAGTGAGGCGAGGTGAAATAGTTAGCGAGGGGCGAATCACATATACTCACATATAAGTGTACTGACTTCTGCAAGACAATTTTTGGCTGATGTGGCTCACGAGAAGTTGTAAGATGTAAGTATTTGTTTCTAGGGTTTCCTGATGCTTCAACGGATGTTAATCGCTTAGCGAGATTGAATGCGTGGCGCGTACTGGGTGTTGGGATTTTATCTATTGGATTGCACTTGCTGTGCGAGCTCATGAGAAGTTGTTAGTGCGTATGACGTTATTTTGCAGGAGTCTTTTGTTTATTTTAATAGTCTTGATGGGATGATTCATTTTCGAATGATTGGATTATATACGTGGGCATGAGTTTTGGAAGTTGTAAAGCGTTGACATCCGTGCACCTGTCCTCTTGGACGTCTAGAGAGCTTGGCGGCATCTAGTAGTAGGTACCTAGTATTGAATAGGGTATTGCACCAAAGAATATTTGATAGGAGCACCTACATAGATCGTACGCATAGATCGTTCTACCAGCGAGACAAATCACTTGTCACTCCAACGTTATCTCCATATTATTTTCAACAAGTGTACAAAAATAAATGATAAAATTTGTTCGAGTTGAATTAATAGTTAGATGTAATACATACCTATATACATATACAATCTATATATATATAAAGTGAAATGTGAATTCACATAGTATAACATTTCTTTCTTGATTAAAGGTAGAGGTAGAATTAAAAAAAAATTACATAGGAAGCCGACTATTACTGATTAATGACTTATCTTGTGTTCCAAAGGATGAATTCCTAATATATTTATTTCGAGTATAGAATTATGTATAGAATTATTTCCCATAAATCAATACTCGTATGAGTTATCAATTGAGCTCCTATATCTCCTTTTGTTCTCGCGTACACGATAGCTCTGTCCTGTTATCGACATATTCTGCATCTTTCGTTTCACCTTGGCCTGGTTATTTCCACAGCGTTCGTACCCAACATCATTCAAATATAATGAGTATTCGGTATCCTCCAAGTGACGCTGATGGTAAAACTTTTTTGAAATTCATTTGGGTCTTGGCAGCTCGGCATTGTGGCATTGCTGACATGATTCTTTGTTTCTCAAGACTCGCGCATCAAAGAATCGTGACAAAATCTCCATGCCATAAACAAAAACTTTGCTTTCTTTCGGAGAAAATATTATCCCCGACAAATCAGTGCTTTTCTTTCATTCTAGAATTCTTCTTCTTCTATACTTCATCAAGCGTAGGTCATTTTCGTTCTTTGTCTGTATAGATTTCCTATTAGTCAAGTGGCCAAAATACATATTTCGGAAAGCGCCTATGCCACTTTTCTCAAATCAAGATCACTCCGTTTGCGTTCGTTTTCAGTGTCATTATTCATGGCGTACCAATCGCCATCTAAGGAGCAGTTTCGGGCTACATTGCCACCGACTCCTTCAACAGATAGGCATTCTCTTTCGCATTCGAGATCTCAATCTCAACTAGAGACAAGCGCTCGCGCAAAATTAGGACCATGGGCACAGTGGGGTCATACATCCGCTTCTTTGAGTGGCTTGGAAACTATGAAACGGCCTCAATTGAAACATAGTCAAACTACGGGAGATAAGTTGCGCTTCAACAGGGATTCACTCTCCAACAGAGATCCACTGCCAGTAATTCCTGGTGTTCTAGCGAAGAAGTTGGGCAGGGGGAGTAGGAGGCTCGACGGGAGGTTGAATGAGTATGGAGAACCTGTTCCAAAACCTTGTATGGAAATTTCTGTCTCAAAAAGTTACGATGATGATATTGAGGAAAGCGAAGATTTTCGGAGGGTGACGAGAATTTATTCTTCGCCCGAAACTAGTACATTGCCTCCACCCCCCGATCCACCCTTAACAAAGTCGGCAACGAAGGTGATGCAGAGAACAGGCTACGACCCGACTATGGAAATAAGAGAAGGAAGAAGTCGACAGTCATCGTTAGCTACGGATAACTCTGACAGTTCTGGTAGCATTTACAGCCAAGAAGATGATATAAATTCACACATGGCTCACCAGACCCAAACTATTGGTTCTGCTCCTGTGTCTCCGATGCAGCGGGATGAGGGAAGCTCGTACTTCTCCAACTACATACCTAGTAATGCATCGAGCCCGGCCACGTCTTCACCGAGATCATTAGTAATATCGTCAGAATATAAAGAACGAGTGTCAAGGTTTATGCAAGGTCATTTGGAAGATCTCAATACTAGCCAAGATCTGTCATACACTAGTGGTCTCGAGAACATGATAGATCAAGGAGTGCCGTACGATTATCAGAATGGGCGCGAATATCCACTCAGACATAAGGCTCACAACGATGATGTCGCGTTAATGCCACCACCACTCTCATTGCCAACAAAGAGAAGTCGACAAAGCTATTTCTGCGAAAGCCCAGATTATTGGGAGCCACGAACCCCGGTTGCTCCATTTTTGGGTAGCGAAGAGCATCAGAGTTTGCATAGACCCTCTGCAGTCTCACATACATCATCCATGGCACCACCGAACATAATAATACCAGAATCGAATAAGCCTCGAAAGAGAGATTTCTCAAGTGGTCAACACCACCTGAAGAGTCCTTTTCCATTTCTTTCAACTAATAAGCTACCGGATTCTCCAAAAGCGACAGGTCCAACAGGGTCATTGGGGGAAATATTATCGGGTGCTTTAAAACGGCTTTCCGGAAGCACGAAGATGGCACCAACAGAAGGCAATGAAATAATCTCCAATGCTGGTAGAAGTGCTACAGGCCCAGATACGCCCATGCCAAAAAAATCGGGATTCATGGGGATTAAAGGGGCTCCAGATGTGATACAGAAAGGGAATGAGCATTTTCATGGGGTGGTAGAGAAGGTAAAATTGAAAGTCAATAAAAAGGAGAGGAGGAGAAGGGAATTGAAGAAGCAAATACTGGTTGTTGGGATTATGGATCAGACACCAGGTTAGTCACTAATCTCCATGAGTGATTCTGGCAAGCACAATACTAATTGCTTCTCTGAATAGACGGACGAACATCTGAATGGCTTTGATCTGAACATAAAGTTATAAAATGTGAGAGAAAGCAATGCACAAGTCCTCTTTCAGGGCTTTAATAGACTGCAGATTTGGGGAGCTAGCCTAGGCTGGAGTACTGTTTGTAGAATGGTATGGCTAACGGTATGCTTTCAAGAAGGTCAAATAGAGGCCGACTTCCTGTTGCACACGTATCAAATGTGTATTTGAATACCATGTAATAATAAATACTCTCATTCGAGCCGAAGCGTGTTTTCTTGGACGAGAATCGTGATTCTGTTGCGTGAATATCACTGGCCAATGTTTGATAAGGAATGTGATGCACATAGTCGGTCACCATCCAGTAATTGCCGGCTATTGTAAAACTTCCGACTCGATATATCGTAGACTGAAACCATTGATTGTTCTGGACGATCTATTCGACGAATGAATCCACCGCCGACGAATCATTCTCTTCTCATAACGTAAACAATGTACCTGCAGCTTCAACCCCGCATCTTTGTATGACCCTTACAAAGGCTTGGAATACAATATAACTTCGTATTTGCTGTGCTCATGACTTTGACATCTTGGTTGATACCCTTCAGCTTGTCTTCCTCTTTGATACATCAACGACCTACTTTGAATCAAGTTTGCGTTAGCTGTGGAAGTCCGAGAATGATGTCGAGGTGAGTTGTTGATCTACCATATAACCCCTTTCACGTGCCACGTGCCACTGGATTTACTCGTAATGTTTCGCGGCTTCCAACCTCCACATTTCCCCCCGCGCTTTCCTAAAGCTTACCCCTGTTGGAACTCCACTTCTACGTAACAAGCGGCGTAGTAGAAGAGTTACCACTTCCCGCGGCTGAGCTTCTACTATTTACTACCTATCTGCTCTTTACAACTGACAATTGCTTTATTTTCTCAGTTCATCATCCCATCTCGAATCCATCAATAAAATCATCCAATTGCCAATTATGGGTGGTGAAACTATACTAAAGCCAGAGCTCAAGAGCTCATATCCTGTTAGGTCTGAAGGACCTAAGGGTAAATTGATATCTAATCTCTACAAAGATCGAATTGGTCAATTCTATGCTGGCGGACAATATGAAGGACACAACTTACGAGCGTAGGTCTTTTCAATTCTCTGATTTCTCGCATCTGCTAATTGATTCTTGTTGATAGAATGTTGAACGAAGGGGTCGCATCTGGAGAACCGCACATCAAACTTTCGGTCTGGGACGCTCCGGACCTTTCTCGACCCACTTTCAAAGATGCCACAAGCCATGAATTTAGATCAACACACATTGGAGAAGCTTTCGGTCCTTCGTGGTCGACCCATTGGTTCAAAGTACGAATAACCGTCCCGTCGGAATTTCAGAAAAAGGACCTTTTGGAGTTACATTGGGATGCCAACAATGAAGGAATGGTATGGACCGAGGATGGCAACCCTCTTCAGGGATTGACTGGAGGTGGTGAGAGAGTTGAATGGGTCTTGCCGGACAATTTCCGCGACGGAAAGGAACACACAATCTATATTGAGATGGGTGAGATAGAGACAAGACATATGGATCATACATTTCTAAATGCTAATATCAAAACTAGCCTGCAACGGAATGTTCGGTAATGCTCCAGGTGGCGATTCCATCCAACCCCCGAACCCAAATAAATATTTCCAACTATCAAAGGCCGAGATTGTGGCTGTAAACGTTGAAGCCCGAGCTTTATGGATTGATATCTGGGAGATCAATGATGCTGCTAGAGAATTCCCATCGGACTCGTGGGAACAGCATAAAGCATTGAGGGTTGCAAATGATATAATTGATGCTTTCGAGTTGGGAAACCAAGATTCAATTATTAAAGGCCGAAAAATTGCACAAGAATATCTGGGTGAAAACATCAACTCACCTGCGGTTTATGAGACTGGCACAAAGCCTATTGTCTATGGTATCGGCCATTGCCATATTGACACCTGTTGGCTTTGGCCTTGGGCCGAGACCAAAAGAAAAGTTGCTAGGTCTTGGTCAAATCAATGTGACCTTATGGATCGTTACCCCGAGCATCGATTTGCTGTCTCCCAGGCTCAACAGTATAAATGGTTGAAGCAGTACTATCCATACGTGTTTGATCGGGTTAAGGAAAAGGTCAAACAAGGAAAATTCCAACCTGTCGGAGGCAGTTGGGTTGAGCATGACACTAATCTGCCTAGTGGTGAATCCCTCGTGCGTCAATTTTTGTATGGTCAAAGGTTCTTTGAAAGCAACTTCGGAGAGAGATCCAAGACATTTTGGCTACCAGATACCTTTGGTTACTCGAGTCAACTTCCTCAGCTGTGTCGCCTCGCAGGAATGAAACGCTTCTTCACTCAAAAGCTCAGCTGGAACAACATTAACAATTTCCCACATACCACATTTAATTGGGTATCTCTAGATGGTAGCCAGGTCATTTGTCACATGGCGCCTTCCGAGACATACACTGCAAATGCTGATTTCGGTGATGTGAGAAGATCAGTAACACAGCACAAATCTATGGATCAAGATGAGACGTCACTTCTTGTCTTTGGAAAGGGTGATGGTGGTGGAGGACCAACGTGGCAGATGATTGAGAAGCTCAGACGTCTTCGTGGAATGAGCGACACTACTGGACTTATACCTAGAGTTCATATGGGTGACTCTGTTGACGATTTCTTTGATCGCTTGGAGGGAAGGGTATCTGAAGGTCTAGACTTAGTGACCTGGTACGGTGAATTATATTTTGAGCTTCACCGTGGAACCTACACGTAAGTTTCATTCTATTAGTATTCACAACTATTATGCTGACTCTCCCCAGAACGCAAGCAAACAACAAGCGTAATAACAGAAATTCTGAAATTATGCTACACAATATTGAACTTCTCTCAACAATTGCTAGTCTCAAAAGTAAGGACTTTAAGTATCCAAAAGAGGATATTGACGATATGTGGGAGGCTGTATTGTTGTGTCAGTTCCATGACTGCCTACCAGGATCATCTATTGAGATGTGTTACGACGACAGTGATGAGGTATGTGATTTGCACTAGCTTTAGCCTCATACAATACTGACACATGATAGCTATATGCCAAGGTATTTAAGACTGGTGAGAAGATTCTCAAAGAGCTTTACAAGACTCTAGGTGTAGGCCAAGCCGAAGACTCGTCCAAGGATGGCGATCTTGTGGCTCTGAACACGATGCCATGGCACAGAAGAGAGATCGTACCACTTGGCGATAATACAGCCGGAGTTGCTTGTGGACAAGGGAGTCTCTTGAACATTAAGACTTTCAAGATTGTAGAGACACCCGAAGTGACTGTCAAAGAAGTCAGAGAGGGCGTTTTTGTGCTACAAAACGAACAGCTCAAAGTCCAAGTCGAAGGCGGCGCAATTACTTCTCTGTATGATCTACAAGCTGAGAGAGAAATAGTTGTCCAAGGAGGTAAAGCCAATCAGCTTGTCATATTTGATGATAAACCACTTTATTGGCAAGCTTGGGATGTGGAAGTTTTCCACTTGGATTCTCGCAAGGAGTTGCCCGCAGGAAATACTAAGATTGTACAGAGTGATGCCCACAGAGTCAGTGTAATGACTGAGACTAAGATCAGCAAAGACAGTTGGATAAAGACTCACATCAGTTTATCAGCCGCATTCAAGGGTCAGCAATCTTATGTTGAAACGGAAAGCGAAGTTGAATGGAGGGAAAGTATGAAATTCCTCAAGGTTGAATTCCCAGTTGATATTAGAAATACGGAGGCATCCTATGAGACACAATTCGGTATCGTTAAACGACCTACTCACTATAACACTACGTAAGTTTGACAACATTTTTAATCGTAGTACATGACTAACTGACTTCAAATAGCTGGGATATGGCCAAGTTTGAAGTATGCTGTCACAAATTCGCCGATCTTTCAGAGAATCAATATGGTGTCTCCATTCTGAATGATAGCAAATATGGCTTTGCTACTTGTGGCAATGTGATGCGCTTATCACTTCTTCGAGCCCCCAAAGCTCCAGATGCACATGCAGATATGGGTCGTCACCATATTCGTTGGGCTATTCTGCCTCATAAAGGAGGTCTTGGCTCGACTACTGTTCGGACGGCATTTAACTTCAACAATCCATTGAAGCTTTGCAAGGCTTCGAAGGGTGTTCAAACCAACGCATTTGATAGTCCAATCAAACTTACGGGAGACCCGTCATTGATCCTAGATACTGTTAAGCGTGGTGAAGATGATGAGGATGTCAGCCGTGGTGAATTAGCCAAGAGAAAGGGCCAAAGTGTTATTTTGAGAATCTACGATAGTTTAGGTGGAACCAGTAAGGGAACAATTGAGACGACCCTGGATGTGAAGAGGGTTTGGAAGACCAATGTTTTGGAGGATGATGAAGAAGAACTTAAGATCAAGGAAGGAAAGGTCTCCATTACATTGAAGCCCTTCGAGGTTGGCACATTCAGATTGCAGTTGTAGGTTCGGGTTATTAAGTCATGAGAGATGGCCTGGAATGAGTAGACGAGGAAATGATGATGGGATGATGATGGGATGGTACAAATTAGCAACCATGTATTATGATAGGTTATTTCCTTGGTATATTAAAATCACCACAAATTTCATATAACCTTTCATTTTGCAAAAGAAACGAGAGTGTTCAGCTTGTTCACTTTATCCACCTACAGTTCTTGCCCACATGTGAATGGTGTTACATGTTGATGGCAGCATTAAGGAACATTCTCCATGGAACAAATATAAAGTCACAGAGTAAGGTCAGACAAAGGTGAAACAGATGATAAAATAAAAGTACTTGCTTGCGGCAATTATAAAGACGTGGCAACGAGTATATCAATGGCACTTCACGGATACTAAAGCGATATTTCAGACATTTCAGCAATGTGAGGTTCACATAAGTGACGAGAGAGGGCTAATAATGTGGGATAGATTGTCTTTACGAACCTCTTCTATATATGGTCATTTCAAGAATCTGGATCATTTTAGTGCGTGCAGTTTGAAGTATTACAATGATGAGACTTAAGTTGTTATACCTAGGTAGGTATGTAACGAACGATAGAATGGGCACTGGGAGATATAGTCCAGTGCAACACAAGAAATCTTTTGGAACGTATTTTCAAATCTCATTTCATCTCATCCCATGATCCTCATCATCATAAGTTAACCATATCGCTATCATGCTTCATAAAAATAATATACACAACCGCCTTTCAACAATAATAAACAGATATTTGAATCCCCAAAATTTCGCTTTCATTTTGCGCTCATGCCAACCAATGTTCCAAAGCCCATCATTCATTCATTCATCCATTCATTCCATTCCATTACATCTTAACATCGTCATCCTCTCCCAAATCGTCCATATGTTCCCGAGCCCACGGACTCCTCTTCCTGAGATCTCTCCCCCATCTCCCCAACACATACGGAATGGGCATTAACAGAATTGCCGCAAACCCCAAGACACTGCCCGCCCAATGCACACCCAATCCATCAAACATCTGCGTCCCAAATAACGGGAACGTCCCGCCGATAATATTCCGCGCAAAACACACGCCGGCCAACGCACTCGCCGCATACACTTTATACGTATCTTCGATATACATAAACGTCATTTGGATGATGGTGTAGAAAGACCAGCCATAGAATGCCGATGCGATGATCGGCACAATCCAGTGTACGGAACCGGGTTGGGCGGACCAGGCAAACCAGAAGAGAGAGATGGGGAAGACGACGGAGCCCACCATGCTGAGTTGCACGCGCGCTTCGGGGATATTCCGGATTCTTCCATTTGGGGATGTGATCTTGCGGAGATAGTAGCGTTCTTGCCAGATGTGGGTGACGGGACCCAGGAGCGCCCCAACGCACACGCCTAGGTTTGCGAGACCGGTTTGGATGGTGTTGAAACCGTAGCCATCGGAGAAGACGATGGTGAAGGCTCCGTTGAAGAGAAATGCAATGCCGAAGAGATATCCGTTGTAAGCCGCAGTGAATAGGATGACGGGTTCGGTAAAGAGTAGACGAAATGGACGAGTGAGAGCGGTAGCGAATACTTGGGTGGCGGGTTGCGTACGCATGTCCAGTGGAACGTCAAGATTTTGGTTCCCGGTTTCTTTGCGGAGACGAGCTGCGCGTCGACGGAGGAGCACGGAGTGTCGAGTTTCCTTGAGTGAGACACATAGGAGGAGGAAAAATCCGCCGGTGGCTCCGCACATACCCCAGAGAACACCGTGGAGACCGTGTAGTTGGGCGATGAAAGAGAAGACGAAGACTCCACTTGCAGAGCCGCCGGCTGAGGTTACAGTGTAGACTGCTAAGGGCATACCAGTATGTTCGTGATGGAACATATCGGCGATCGTTCCTCCAATGTTTGCTGAAAGTTGTTAGTTCGTATACAATGCTTGAAGATTTGCAACATAGTACTTACTGATTGATGCAGAAGCAAAGAAGCCCGTGATAAACCTCAAGATAATGAATCCGGGGACATCATCTACCAAGGCAGTACCGATTAAGAGCAATGTAGTGATGAAGAAATTGGCCAGATAGACAGGAGTTCTTCCATAGTACTCGCTCAGAGGTGCTAAAAGCATAGGTCCAAATCCCAAACCAAGCACATAGCAAACCAAAGGAAGTGTAGCGACTTCAGCTGAAGTACCGAATCTCTCCTCAAATTCAGGAATTGCAGGTGAGTAACCTGAAGCTATCCTGAAGAGCGAACATTAGCATTCTGTGCAACCGCAATGGTCATTGGATAATTTTACCAGAGACAACTAAAATTCGCAATTGTCAAGGATAGAACAATCGACCATTTTCTCAGCGAAGTCCAATTGAGAGGATTTTCTGGATCGTTTGGGACGAATTCAACTAAATCCGCATCCTGCTCTGTGTTTTCTCGACGATCTTCGTGTCGAATTTTGTCCTCTACCTTTTCGACATCAGTATCACTTGGAGTGGAAGGAGGAAGATCGCGAATCTCTGATTGTCTCATGGTTCTCGTTTGCTCAATGAGAAAACGTGTGAAGTTGGGATCAAATTATACCAAGCTTTTGCTAGGGCATGGATGGGCATTGGCATTTTATAGGGAAAGACATGATTGATCTAGGAAATCCACCCAATGCAGGGGAATTAAATCAAGAAACGGGATATCCCCAATTGCCCCACAAGGAACGGATATCCCGTGCCGGTAGATAAGGGAAAAGCTTGCCACTTACGACATTGATCTATCTGCCGTTATATGATGAATCCTAGACATGAGTTTACATACTGATTCTCAGACCCATGAGGAAATCGGGTCCGAGATTCTAACAGCAAATATCTCGTCTCATGTTACCTACTTTTCTTTAACTTTCATCGTATCATCGTGTGCAAATCGTTGATGCGGCTACTTTTAGTGCTTGATCATGAGTATCGATGGACGGCTCGACACTTCCGTAATCTTTCTCAAGATTGAACTTCATGACAGATTATCTTTCGGAGGAAAAAGTTGTTAGGTACGTTGTTGTTGTTGTTGTAAGAATCTCTGTCTCAAAAGCATGCGGGGCCTAGATATCCTACGGCCTGTCTTAAGGGTTGTTTGATTGTATTGAGAATTTCCTTGGTGGAAAAAGTTGATTAGATCTTTGATGGCTAGCGAGTCGCGGATATCCAATGCTGCCCATCCGGCCACTAGTATTAAACCGTGCCAAATTGAGACCTGAGGAGTGCCGGAGTACAATATAATATGGAATTCGTTAGACTGCTTCGCCACCAATTTCCAGTGAAAATTAGACTTTTGAGCATAGATGCATTGGCATTTCTATAGCCCTTCCCCTCATAAGACCCCAATATTGAAAGACTCCAGCTATTCTACTGGCAAACAAATAGAATAAAAAACTGTTATTCCAGCGTATAGTGCCAACTGAGCTTGTAATTGATTAGTAATACACAAAGCAGTTGCTAGTGGAGAGCTTGGTGAGTTCGGATTTGAGTCATTTAAGAAATGGTTGAACAGAGCATACACGATATGATATGTACATGCGTCTCGCCTAGATCCCCACAGAGAGAAAATCTTGAAATATGTACGGGGTATACATATATGGAGCGGAACTAGTCAATGTGCTTCAATTACTTGGAATGGGAGATGGACAATGGACATATATTCGACTAAGAGTGAAGTAGTGGTTCTGCTCCGAATATCAACCGCTTTCGGTCCGAAAGACTAAATTCTGCAACGATGGCCACCCGCAATATCCATCAAATCTTGTGGGGTTGTTTTGGGGAAAGATAAATCAAGCTCCAAAGATTCCCACATATTCCCACACCGAAAGAATGACCCCAAGGAATGATAGAGATCATTTGAGTCGTCGTGGAGAGTAGGGTTGAGCCATTCGATGATCGGTGATTTATGATCATGCATCTGTAGAGGGGAGATCATGTCCGTTTTTGTATTGAATTGTGTGACAAGCGAGAATAGATCAATATAATTCCCTCGTTCGCCTACCACTTCGTGAGCACCCTAATTATTATTATTAGCATCGGTACTTGTTTTGAGATCAGTTGGACTTCTCTCTCATACAATCGCACTAGTTACGTGTCAGTATTAACATCTACAACCATCAATTGCATGGCGACCTGCTGTGGTTAAAGTTGATCCCTCATTATGGACCGTGCAGTATCCTCCATTGCAGATCTTGCATCTCAACTGAGTCTTCTGTATACATTCGTGACACTACGACGCCATTAGCGAATAATCCCATAACCAGTTCTCGTGTTGTCTTACATTGAGTCCGCAAAATAAGCAGCTTTTTGAGACGCCAAACTATGAGTTTTCGTTAGTTGATCTCCATGAAGGTTGACAACGTCAGATTCTAGATATACAATTGTTGAGAGATTAAAAGTAACTGAGATGCCCTAAGAATGAAGCGCCGAATGAATTACTCGGTACTTCTTTTTTGCCACGGTGAAATTGCTTTAATTCCACATCCTCCTGCTTCTATCACGAGATATCATGGCAGATATTAGACAATCTCTAACACAAAAATCCATATGTACCTTGCTAGATTCCACTTCAGGCACCATGGAAGGCAATAATGGAGAACTACTGGTACTACTGATTGGTTGAGTTCCTTCAAAACAATCCTCGCACCACCACTTGCGACAAGCTTCGCAGTACCGGGTTCGTAGACAATCCACGCAACGAACCATCAGCTTTTCTCGAGATGAAGATCCTTCGAATGGTGTTTTTGCTGCCTTGGCAGTAGACACATGAAGAGGGACAGGCGACAAGAGTGGAAATAAGACCATGGGCGACTGTCCAAAAATCGAGGCATTTTTAGCAGTCCCACAGCCGCTGCAATCACCTAGAAGATGAGTCGCTACACGCGCACCGTCAATGCGATTTTGCGTATGTTTATACCATGGACCAGGACTGTCCGATGGTAAGCTTGCAGAGTGACGAGGTCCCTTGCAAAGAACAGCATCAAAACTGATGATCCCCTCACAATAGGTCATAGTATCTGCCCAGTCATTGTGGATGGGTTTTGGGAACCTGTTCCCAAATTCCGGGTGCCCAACTTCACCTCCTCCACGCAATACACTCTCTCCTAAAGCATCTCCGGATCTTCGATTCCAGTGCATCCCAAGATTTGTTCCTGGAGACCTCGCTCCGTAATTGGGAATTGTGTCTATAGGCGCGATACCGGCAGGATACCTATTCACATGCCTTCGACGTTTCACAACTTGCGGGGCATCCTTGCAACCAAAGACATATAGCCCTTGAAGCCGGGGAGTATTGTTGGGTCTCGAAGGGCGACACGAATATTTGAGCGCACCTCTCAGTTTTCCTTCGTTAAGATTTTGTACTTCGCGGATTGATAAGATGCGAACATTGTACGAATCGTTCAGGATGATTTCGCTTACCAAGTCGGAAGGGACCGAAAGGCCGTCCAGTATCAAAGTTTCCACATCAAGTAGTAAATTTCGACGGCGGAGGTGATTGAAGATGCCCCTCAGTGGGCCACCATAAAAGCTATGAACATGTCAATATACAATATTCCAGAGCTAGGAGTGGCAAAACGGACTCATCTTCTGTTACATTCTCATCTAGTTGTACATTTCTCCAGTTCTGTCCTCCATTGTCAATTGATCCAACTCCGGACCTTGCAGATTCGACGTCTGAGAGCTTCAAATAACGGAAAACATGAGGGGTCTCGTGAATGAGCTCTTGGAAAGATTTTGAGGTAGCTCCGAGAGCTAAAAGAGAAGAAACTGGGAGATAAGGAGTAGTTTGATAAAGAATCAAAGTATTTGATAATAATTGCAAGAGAGAAGATGGTAATCTATCTGTAGTATCTCGAGATTCGAACTCCATTGAAGTACCTATTGAGTCTAGGAGGAGAGGTATCCCTTGATATGAGGAATTCAAGATGTGCTAATATCTCTGAAACGAACTGCACAAACTGACACGGCGATCAAAGAAACTAAATGTAAATACTATATATTGAATGAAGTAATTCAAGATCGATCTCCCAAGCCTTGGAAGTCAATCTTTCTATTGAAGTTAGTCAGGTGCTAATGCTAGCGCCACTTAGGCTAGCTTGCCACTGCCACAGATGGCCCGAATGGATACCAAAATTGAGATGTAACATTCTTCCATCACTCAATCTAGATTCAACAACTAAATGGTCTTTCAGAGATGTCGACTGTCCAATTTACTATTTCGACCTTGACAATCAAAACTACCTTTCCAGCCTTTGTGCTTTGGAGTTACAGGGGATTTTGCAGATCACCTGGGCTGCAGGTGGAGGTCTCAAGTAGCCACACTAGCCACAAGCCACAGTCATAATCACGTAATCACACCTCTTATCGATAAGAGATGAACAAGGATTATCTTCGGTATAGAAGGATCCAGCATTATCTGACATATCAATCAACAAGTTTCTACAATACAGTACAGTACAGTACCACTTCAAGTGCATAAATTCAGAGCTCTTCTGAGATACAAAATTCAAGAGTTGGAAGAGTCCTTTGATACATACCATTGAGATTAAAGTATTTCCAGTTACATTAGAGAAAACTCACTATAACAGGTGCTTGCCTTGTTGTTCATGGACATGATGGCAGCAACTCCAGACATTTCTTTAACATGGTCATCAGTCTATAAAGTCGCCCCAAAAGACAATGTCTCTCTGCCCGGGGACAAGATACTATTACCCCAATCTGCTCTGGAACAACTATTATCAGCATCCACAGTTACAGTCAATGCTAATAGTCGCTCAAACAATGTCGCATTCGATCCATTCAATCCATATTCATTGGCAGCGGCTCGCATAGAACAGTCGCAATGGAGAGATACCCAACAACAACTTCCCCATCCTCTCACGTTTAGGCTAGTTAACTCGAAGAACGGCAATGTTGTATATGCAGGAATTCGAGAGTTCTCAGCAGATGAAGGAGAAGTTGTCCTAAGTCCATTTTTGCTAGACGCATTGGGAATCACTGCGTCCATACGAAAACCAACACCACCAAGACCAAGGGCTGAAAGTAGGCGAGGATCATCGGATACGCCTATAGATCTTACAGATAACCCTGCAATCGACCTCACGGGTGACGAGATGATAGACCTTACAGGCGAAACCGAAGAACCGGCGCAGATCACAGTGCATGCAAAACAATTACCCAAAGGTACATACGTGAGGTTAAGGCCATTGGAGGCTGGTTATAATCCCGAGGATTGGAAATCATTGCTCGAAAAACACATGCGAGAAAATTTTACAACTTTAACAAAAGGTGAAATATTGATGGTTCGGGGTTCAAAGTCGGAAGAGTTCCAATTTCTGATCGATAAGTTTGCGCCAGAAGGAGATGCTGTTTGCGTCGTTGATACGGATCTAGAGGTCGATATTGAGGCTCTGAATGAAGAACAGGCTCGAGAAACCTTGAAGCAAATCATGTCAAAGGCACAAAAAGCTCCAGGAACAGCCCAAGGAAGTTCCATCGGCGGAGAGATAG